GCGACTTCAACATCCTGGCGGCGCCGCCCCTGCTGGTTCAGACCCCCCTCATCAACAAGGGTCTCGTGCACATGGACGATGCTGTGCCTCGGCCACTGGAGCGCCGCTGGAATGATATCTTCTCTGACTTCGTCGAGCTTGACAACGAGCTCCCCACGCACTTCTGGCAAGAGGAAGGTTCGCCGCCGAAGCTGTCGCAGATTGACAGAGCGTTCTTAGCCTCTCCCTCGTGGCTGGCGATAAAGTGGCATGTCACGCTCTCAACGCGTGACCTCCTTGAACGACTTCATGAGATTGGTCTTAGTGACCATGCGCCCATTGTGGTTACCTTTGCTGGCCGGCCGCCGATGGACAGTGAGACGCAACCGATCCCACGTTACATCTTCAAGAGTCCCGAGTATGCAAGGCAGTATCGGCTCTTAGCCATTCTTGTTCAATGGCATGTTCTTCATCCTTATCAGCGGAGACTTCAGCATAAGCGACTCATGCGTGAAGTTGCTCGTCGGGTGCGGGACAGTATCTTCAAGCACGAAGCTCATGACAACGACTCAAAGTTGCTCATCTTCCGCTCGATCGCCAGAGCGGTCTGGAGGGGCGATCTCAAGCTGGCGGAGCGCCTGGTCACATCGTCACCGCTCGCTGCCGAGCATCTTGATCACCAGCAACTCGGTCTCCCTCTCGAACCCATCGGACTTTGCAGTGGCTTTCGCGGCTGAGCAGGACATCTACTCTGAACGCCGACTCGCTGATCTCGATCGTCGGGCCAACGCGGCTCCTCCTGACGGCACATCGTTCAAGCGCATCATCGCCATGAGGCGGGCCACCAGACGGAGGGCTGCACTCTGGACCCCATTCAAGCGCACTCTCAAACTTCAGGGATTACGTCACCCTGATTCTGGTGGCCCACATGACCTGGGACAGCGTGAGTACTCAGGCCGACGTGTTCGAAGAGTTGTGCAAGCACTGGTCGCCGATATTCCAGCGTGATCTGCCCGAACACCCCCTTGTGCAGCGTCGAGCATCCCGTGGTGATCGACGGCCTCGAGGACATTCGTCTACCAGACTCTCGCGATCTTCAGCGGGCGGCACGTAGGGCTCGCGCCTCAGCTCCTGGCCCAGACGGACTGCCATATGATGCTTGGAGCTGCTGTGGGTCATCGCGTCCTCTGGAAGACCTGGCGCAGGTGGGGCTCGAGGTCGCGCAGGGCTTCCCACCGCCGCCTGACCTCAACGACCACCTGATGGTTTTCCTGCCCAAAGGTGCCGAGGCTGACGATCTGGTATCGGGCCCGACTCGCACGCCATCCACGACGAGACCTCTGGCGAACACGGATGTGAAGCTAGTGTGAATTACGTTCGACATCGAGTCCAGAGCCTAAGTGCTCCAGCCGAGTGCCGGGACTATGGTGAGGGAACGCTGAGTGCTGCTGCGGGCTGGCTTCCAGGGCGGCCTCTACCAGCTCATCATGGGCATGCGCTGGCTGCCGCAGGCCTTCGTATCCATGGAGGGCGAGCTGCGCCGCTTCATGCTAGTCACGGCGGGCATCGCTCAGGGCTGCCCGCTCTCAGGGTCCCTGTGGGCTGTAGCCATGAACCCCTTCGTGGCCCACATGGAGCACATCCTCGAGCAGTGGGAGTCCTCCGCGGTGGGCGTCTGCGCGGACGATGTCGGCACGGTCCTGCAGGATCGCAGGCTTCTTCTCCGCCTGCGCAGGGTCTTCACTGCGGCACGCGCATTGGCAGGTCTGGCCCTGAAGCTGGCCAAGTGCAAGGTCGTGCCCTTGAATGCCGCATTCTCCGTGGAGCTGGCTGCAAACATCAAGGAGTGGCTCGCCCTGGAGCTGCCTGGCTGGGAGCAGATGGACGTTGTTCCTTTCGCCAAGTACCTAGGCTATATCTTGGGTCCTGGAGCCACGATCGATGGCGTGTGGCAGGAGGCTGGCGCCAAATGGATCCATCGCATCCGCGACCTCGCTCGTGAGGGAGCGCCGGTACACATCACGGCTGTGATCTACAATTCGCGCGTGCCCACGGTCCTCAGCTACCTGATGCAGCTGGCGCCGCTGCCCCACGCCCTGTTGAGGCCATCTGGCGCAGTCGATCTCGCTCGCTGGACTCCTGGGAATCGGGAGCTGGTTTGCCAGCATGCAAGTCCTCAGAATCAGCACGGTCGGTCGCCCCTGCTCAAGGCGCTGCATGAGGCGACGCTCGCCCACGGCAGCCTCGCGGAGGTGGGCTCTGGCTGGTGGTCGCCCGTCTTCTGGAGAACAAAACCGATCGTGGTCCACATTTCTGAGGCCAGCAGGGCCGCATGAAGGCTCACGCCTCGGCCGCCCGCGCTGCCCTGACCGCCCTTGCCGAAGCCTCAGAACTGGGGCGCGTGAAGGTGCAGAGACCCCTTTCCTCCTCTCTTCCTCGCTCTTTACCCCGACGTCCTCCACCTCACTCTTGCTGAGCGCATGGCCTCGTGGGAGCTCCCATTTTCGGAATCGTTCTGGGACGCCCCCAGAGATCTCATTCGCAACGGAGGCCCTCCAGCATGGCAAAGTGCTGTCCTGAAGAGATTGTTGGAGGTTGGCTCACCAGCGGTCACGTCAGCCCTCTGCGCTGCCGAGACGTGCGCCACATGCGATGCAATATTCGCCCGAGATCGTTGAGAGGGTGCGGGCTTATCACATATATAATATTGTCCGCACCGCCCCCGCTCTCGGCCCTCTCGACAGTGAAGAGGCTCTAGGGAGGCATCATTCCAATATTCGGCGTGCTGCCCAGACCCTTGTAGAGCACTCTAGAGCGCCCTTTAGGTCTGTTCGGCGGGACCAGGTACGAATATGTACGACGATGACAGATCACTGCATCTGTCGCGTCACCGCCAGTATCGCCAATCTGCCGCCATCATCAGTGTTACATTCATGCATCAGGTCGTCTTCACCAGCATCAGCGTTATCGTTGGCCTCGCCGTCGTCATCGTCATCATCGCCACAATCACCACTAGTTTCAGCATCATCATCATCAGCAGCATCATCATCAGCATCATCATCATCGTTGCCGCCGTTGTCGACGTCATCATGACATCGCGCCCGCCCGATCCACCGACCCGCGCTAAGTGCCCGCGCGCCAGCCTGGCCTTAGAGACGCGCTGGGAAGCTCCCACCGGTAAGCTCCACCGCGGCACCACCAGTTGTGCCAAACCAGCTGGCCGCTCTGCACGCGAAGGTTCGCACGCCGCAGAGATGCGCCAGCCAGTGCCAAGCAGTCACCACAATCGCGGCCTCATGCGTTGTGCAAGTCAAGTTGCGGGTGACACCGTGGGATATTTGCGCGAGCAGTGGAGTTGAAAACTTGATGTTGAGTTGGTAATTGCACCACACATGTTGCACAAAGTAGATCGCACCTACACGCTTCCCGTGGAGGCCGCAAATCGGCTTCCAAATGGCACCCTAGAGGCCCCACGTCGGTCTCCACTATTCTCTTAGATGGCTTCCAAGAAACCGCAGGAAACTTATTATAAGCATCTTGCCTAGGCACGATGGGCCGAAGGCCACTAGATACTTACACATAGATGTGTACGCCCCCGTCGTAGACAGAAGTCTTTCTGGTGGCCTCAGCCAGTGCAGCAGAACACTGTTTCGTTGAAGCTCCTCCTCAAGGCTTCTCAGGCTTCTTCCGGGCTTCGGGTGCCGGGTCCCGGGGCTTCGTGTCCTGGCCCAGCCACGCGTCCCAGGTCCAGGGCTTCGGGCCCTGGCGACGGGTGCCGGGTCCCCCGCCTCCTTTTTCCCCGGCAGGGCCACCCGAGCACCCCCATGCAGAGCTGACAAGCGGCTCAGGAGGAAGAACCCCCGCACGTTTTCCCTCTTCCCCGGCAGAGCCTCACCGCCCACCAAGCCACCCCAACCCAACCCAATGTCCCCGATCTGCCCTCCATTTCCAGTGGGGGGGGTCAGGGAACATGGAAAAAACACATATGAAACCCGTACCTCCCCCCAACCCGAAATTCGGGTCTTCGGGTTGGGTTGGGGTGGTCTGGCAGGTAGTCAGAGCCAGGGTACCCCGGCATCCCCCCCCGCCCTGGAAATCGAGGAACCCCACCTAAATGTCACTTCTCCCCGGCAGGGCCACCGCGGCACCCCCACAGCAGAGCCGACGAGCATGGGGCAGAGCCACCCGGGCAACCCCCCCAGCAGAGCTGAAGCTCCGGCTGTAGTTTTTATTCGCCAAGCGCGTTCCACTGCTCGCAAAGTGCCTACTCGCAAACGTCTGGAGAAAACCACACGTCTACCCTCGTGTTATATATATATTATTAGCTATAGAATATATGTAATGTATATGTATATACACACATATATATATATATATATATATATATTGTACATCCCCTGCGGCGGATCCAGGTTATTTGCGAGCAGCTACTTTGCGAGTAATTCGTGGCACGCGCTTGTCCATTCTTCAAGCTCACACGCCGGAGCAAAGTCCCCGTCGTAGACAAGTCCTGATGAGTTCTGGGCGCCCTCCTCCAGCGGGGTCGGCCTTGTGCCCGGCCGGTCGGGTCTCGGCCGCAGCCCCATTCCCGCCGCACACGCCGAGGGGCTGGGCTTAAGTCAGGCGTGTCCCCCTACAGGAGGAATATTCAAACATGGCAAAAAGATATAGTCTGGGGACGATTTGGGAGGCATTTTTCTATTGTTTTGGGGTAGGTTCTGAGTATTTGTAATGATTCGCCCAACATCCGCCTGTAAGGGGACACGCCCGACCTGAGGCTGGGCCCCAACTCGGGCCTTTTGACTTGGCGGGAAGAGCAAGGAAAAGGAGACGAGAAGTATGGAGACGGCAGCGGGAAGGGTGGAGAGAGGAGGCGGGGGACGGGAGACATGAAGGCGAGAGGAGGCGGGAGTACATATGGGGGAGCAGGGGGGGCAAGTAGAGCCCCACTCACAGTAAGGATCCAGCGAAGAAGGGACGAGTGAGAGAAGATCGGATGCTGCATTAGATCAGCTTCCCCAGGCTCTTGATCGGCCACCTGCCGTTCGGGATGACGCTGCGCGTCACGGCCGCATGCCTAGTGTTCATTGTCTTCATAGCGTACCTGCTCAAGAGCGTCGTGCTGTGCAAGACGCTCCACTCATTCTGTGACCCCAAGCACGCCAAAGGTGACAGCGCGCGTTCAGAGGCAGGGTACACCATCACCATAGTGCTCGTGATGGGTGCGGCTTTTTTGGTATCGCAGGTGGTGCCATTCTTCACCCCCTTCATCGACCTTATCGGTGCTACGCTTGCACCAATGTGTTGCATGGTGATACCACTCATCATGTATGCCCAGTGGCACCGCACATTTGGCAGCACCAAAGACATGCAGGTGGGGGACGCGGCCGAGCGACTGCTCCTCATGCTGGAGATAGCCCTGTGCGTTCTGATTATGACGCTCGGCACCTACGACTCCCTCCTCACAATCGTTCGAGGATGTCAGGGACAACGCTTGGAGGGGAATAGGCTTAGGGGGGATGCATCGACCCCCGATCGCCCACTGATTTTCGATGGGGGCCCGATCGCCCGCACCGCCTAGGACCGTGCGGATTCGCTGTCGTGGGCCTATCGCCGATCTGTCGGCGATGTATCGTCGATGCCCTGTCGAGGGTTCCCCCACCTGGGCCGGTCCCCTGGTGGTTTTCGGGTCATTGCTCTGGCCTCCAGCGGCCGTTCGGGAAGATCCAGGCACCCCTGGAACGCCCTCGGCGAGGCGCAGCCGCCGGAGGGCATCCCGAGGCTGGCGAGCCGCCGATAAACAATGAGACGTCCGAGAACCTCAAAACTCGGCGAACCTCGAAACCGAACTGGTCCCCCACTAGAGTTACCCCTCAGGATGGGAGGAGTTCGGATCCCCCTTCTCTTGCCACTGCGAGCACCTCTGGAACACGTGCCAGTGCTCGTCCTCGAAGGTGGCCCACTGCGAGCGGCACACTTCGGACTTCGACGAGGCTGACTGGTTGAAATGTCAGGGCGCCAGGGAGAGGAGGACTGGGTGGAAGGGAGAGGGTAGGGGAGGGAGGGAGGCAGGAGGAGGCGGAGGGAGAGAGGAGGGTGGTGAAGGTGGGAGGGAGGCAGGCGGAGGAGGGGATGTCACGGGGGAGCAGGACAAGCATGAGCAGGGAGAGGATGATGATGAGGAGGAGAAGGACCAGTGTAAACCGAAGACTCGTCAACGACGTTGAAATACACCCTCCCTCCAAGATCCCTCGTCATAGGCCCCTGCGAGGGGTCATTTCCACTGAGGGAACTGCCCTGTTGGGAGACAAGCGTGTGAACATCTTCAAGCGTGCCAAAACACGATTCTCAGAACTTCAACGCCACGAATTAACCTGACTGTTACGTCTTTGCGATCCTGAATCGCGCCCGAACGCAATTCCTGGGACTTCAACACCGCGGACCAACGTAACTGTTGCGCCCTGAGAATCCTGAATCGTTCCAAAACACCGCTTTCGGTAAACTAACCAAGAGAACAATACAACTCTTACAACTGTTTCAAACGAATGTGCGCGGCGCTAAGGCGAGATGCACATTTTGAAAAGAAGCCGCCCTCAAGCCGCGAAGCACTTGCAAATGATTAAAACGAATGTGCGCGGCGCTGAGGCGCCGATGCATCGCCGGTACGTCTCGATGTGGAGCCCGATTTGCTTCACGTCGACGTCGCCGATGCATCGCCCACGTCGACCATGCATCGCCGGTGCATCGTCGATGCATTGTCGATGCATCGGCGATGCGGCGCGATCCCCCGACCCCATCTACTCCGACCCCATCTAGGAGGCCTCTAATATCAGAACGCGCGGCCTCCGACGGCTGGTTACGACTCGATGCTCAAGCCTTGGCCCCTGCGTCGGCGTATTCCTTGCCGAGAGCGGGCTGCCGTTTTGAAGACCAGGGAGCAAACGAGGAGGGAGCCGCGTAGGCCTTGGTCTTCGCTGTGTCAGTGGCGCGAAGGGCCGCCCGACGTTCGAGTGGCGTCAAAACGACGCCCGCACCGAAGGACCTGCGACTTAAGCCTCGCTGCGGGGCAGGCAGAAGCAGGCAGAGGACCAGTCAAACGTCAAACCAACAGGTTGGCCCGTGAACGGGCGGAGCACGATTCGGAAAAGAAAAGCATTGCGGCCTGCATGCTTGATGTGAAGGACGCATACGACGAGTGCGGGGCTTCGCGTCAAACGCCTCGAGACATCCCGAGACCTTCAACAGTGAGTGGGGGTGCATAAGAAGCACGAGAAGCAGATGCGCGGATGGGGACAAGCCATTGCAGGAGGGTAGTGGTATGATTGGATTGTGAGCCTGCTTACGTGACCACCTGATCATGCTCGAGCAAGCATCACACCCACCCGGCCGCAATTTGTTGGCAATACTCATGGGGCCATGGGTTTGCAAATGCAGTTACCAATCGGAGTTCGTTAACAGAACACAGTTGGCGTTCTGACGCGCGGACCCGTCTCATTCAGATCCATGACTTGCGCAGACGAGTGATATGACGATGACAGAGGTGACGACGCTGGTAACCATGATCATTGTGACAGTGGTGGCGATGATGACGAGGACGACGACATCACGACGAATATTAACGATGATGATGGCAACCGTGGCGATGGTGATTATAATGATGAGTATGGTGATGAGGAAACGCGCGCACGGAATTTCAATGGAGCTTACTGGCCCTTCTGTGTGTTCGAAATGTCCTAATAGTATTGAAGTGCTTTGAAATGGCTTTGACTTGCGCGGGAAAGGGCGCGCGCGGGGCCTGAATTATACTCAATGACAGGGTTGACACGGGAAAGATACAAGTTAGGATTTTGGCAAGTTCGCAGGGACATGTGAATGATTTCGCCATGCGCGCGCGAGGGCCCAAATCGTTGTATTGCATATGGATGGGAGGACGCCCATTTGGCAATTGTTTTTCACATGGCTTGAAGTGCTCCGTCTTGGTAAGGTTGGACACCCTATCATCCTGGGACGATTTAGAACTGCGTGCGCGGGGGGGGGGCGCACGGCGCTCTCGCGTGGCCTGCATGCTGCAAACATACACCCGGAGGGAAAGCGTTAAGTCGGGTCTCGGCGTGGGGAGGAGTCGCACTGCTCTCTTAGAGCAGGGAGCTAGTAGGAGCAAGGAGTCTGTGTGGTGCAGGCGATGTGTGGTGCAGGCCAGGCCATGTGGTGCAATCTGCACCAGGTGTGATATATGTCGTGCAGTCGTAGCGCCAGCCAGCGCGCGCAGCACCTGCGTGGAGCCCTGGGCGCCCACCCAGCGCGCGTGGCGCCCACCAGGCGCGCACCAGCGGGCACAGGGCGAAAACCCGGGGAACCCGGTCAGTGCACGAGGCGCGCCCGCGCCCACGCCCACACCGACACGACCCCAGCCCAATGCCCCCCCCGAGGCAACCTGGGGAAACCAGCCAGAGCTGGGCTTAGGTCGGGCCTGTCCCTCGACGGGGGGAATATTCCAAAAGACGGAACAATAGTCAGGGGACTATGTGTCTGGTATTTTTGAGCACTTTTCGAATATTCTTGAACTATTTTCCACTTTCCGCTCAAAATCCCCTCGTAGGAGGACACGCCCGACCTAATGCTGGGCGAAAGAATCCAGCGAGGCGCCCCACGGCGCCCCTCGGCGGGCAGTGGTCGAGAGCTCGGGGATGCCACCCAGCGCTTCGGGGCGCCCACGAGGCGCCCACGGGCGGGCACTGAGCGAACGCCCGGGGAGCCCGGGCCAAGTGGGCAGAAGCGGAGGCACGACCCTCTCAGTGCAGGCTCTGCTCGGGGCCACTCTTTGGGGAACCGTGGATGCAGGAAGAGCGTGGCGCTCCACAAGTGTGGGCCCCTTCGTGCAGGCACTGCTTGGGGAACCGTGGATGGGGGCAGAGCACGGCGTGGATGTGCACATCCAGGGCCCGTTCGGCCACTGGGTTGCTGCAGGGATCATAAGAAGAGGAATGGCAGGAAGAGCGAGAAGAGGAGAAAGAGGAGGAGGAGGAGGAGGAGGAGGAGGAGGAGGAGGAGGAGTGAGAAGGGGGAGGGAGCAGGAGAAGGCCGGGGGAGAGAACTGCTGCCTCTGGGGGAGGGAGGGAGGGGGGGAGGGAGGGGATGATGACGAGGAGGAGGAGGAGGAGGAGGAGGAGGAGGAGGAGGAGGACCAGCAGCAGCAGCAGCAGCAGCAACAGCAACAGCAACAGCAACAGCAGCACCAGCAGCTCGAGGGCGGTGAGTTGTGGGAGGATGGAGGAAGAGGAAGAGAAAGAGGAGGAGGAGGAGGACGAGGAGGAGGAGGACGAGGAGGAGGAGGAGGAGGATGAAGAGGATGAGGATGGGCGCAGTAGGAAAAAAGCAGGTTTGCGGAGGCTCGTGCTTCCGTCCCTGTACACACGTCAGCGACACAGCACCCGACCCCTGAACTTTTGTTCTGCCAGCCTGCCAGGCCATGTCGCTGTACTCGGGCTCCAGCGGCCTCGAAGGCAGTCTCGAGCCCATCGTCCCTCTGCTCTCCTCGCGCTGCCTTTTTACTTCTCCTTCTCCAAACAATCTCACCCGCTCTCTCTCCCCTCTTGTCCCGACTCTTCCATCCCCCTTCTCCCTCTCTTCCTTTTTCTCGTGAGTAATACCCTGCGTCTGCGCCCACCTGCGGGTGCTGGTCCAATCGCCTGTTCTGGCCAGGAGCGTGCTCACGGAGAGCGGAAGTTGCCACACTCCGCCGTCTGCCCACAGCACTGCCAGAATATCCAGAGGTGCTGAAGATGCCAGGCTTCGGCATCGTTTAACCAATCCCCATCCCCACCCCCATCCCCTTCGAGACCCCCACCAAATTACCACTCCAGTTGGGCATACACCCCTCGAAACCCGAACGAAGGGAACGACCTATATCCCCATCCAGGGAGGTAAATCGGCCAGTGGGGCCCAGGCCACGCAGCTGGGGATGGGGATCGGTTAAGCGATACTCGAGGTTCTGGCTGGAGGCGGAGCCTCTGTTTCCTGGTCAG